TCTTAGTGGTTACCCTAAAATTTGCACAATAAATCCTTGACTTACCCCAAAAAAAAAAAAAAAACTTTTGAGAGTCTCACATAGCCTAGGCCTTGAACTTATATAACAGGGCTGGCCTTGAACGCCTAATCCTCCTGCTTTTACTTCCCAAGTGCTAGGATTACAGGAAAGCACCAGCTGTTTAGTTTGTGTATGTGCATGTATAGTACAGAGAATTGAACCCAGGGCCACTGGCATGACAGACAAGCATTCTACCTACCACTGAGCTATATCTCCAGCCCCAACACAGTGAGTACTTTAGATAAGTGCCATGGAAATTTGATTATGAGTTACACATACTACTAATCTTTTGGTTTAGTGCTTGAGAGAAAGATTCTAACAGCAATCAGAAGAAGAAAGCTAAATAAATCACTTGCTCTCTCAGAACTTCAAATTCCTAATTTCTAAAACAGGAATAATAAAGTTACTTTTTGGGTTTATTCTAAAGATCAAAAGAGAAATTATATGTAAGACGTTTCTTGGCATACTGTATGGCACAGAGCGAACATCCTCTCAACAAATGGCAGTTCATACTAAATAAGATGACCAACTCTGTACCAAAGTAAAGTGAAATTATATGCTACCTACAGGAAGCATCCCTACACATAAAGTTTAGAAACAAAACAACTGGACATGACATCAGGAGAAAAAGAGGGGAAACAGCAGCAATGTTAGCAGAGCTTAGTGCAAAACATGAGACAGGAAAAGGAAGGACGCTGGGAGGCTGCAATGAAAAGGATGAAATCCATGATAAGCCAACAAAGAGTTGTCATGAATTGTACATGTCAAATAAGACCACAAAAACAAGGTGAAAAAGAAAACAGCAGTAATGCCACTGTCCTTGATCAGTGACACCATCCCTAAGAAAGTGGGGATACAGAAAGTACAAATACTATTAATTAAATGACAGAAAAATGTAACTGAATGCAGAAACAAATGCAGAAGGACTGAAAATGTGTATATCATAAAGATACACTTTTTTCCCTCCCAGGAATCCAAAGAGCATTGCCAAAAAAATGGACTACAAGGTAGTAACAAAATCTACACAGACCCAAAGCAGAATTTGTCAGGTCCTATGCTGTTTAGAAAGGTAGTAAAGTACACATCATCAAGGGTATTTAAATAACAAATTCAAGCATTTGGAAAGTAAGGCAGAGGCAGGTGGATCTCTGTGAGTTCAAGGTCAGCCTGGTCTAAATACTGAGTCCAGGACAGCTGGGGCTACCAGGAGACCCTGTCTCAAAAAGGCAATAAGTAAATAAATAAATAAAAATGAGGGGCTGGAGAGATGGCTCAGAGGTTAAGAACACTGATTGTTCTTGCAGAAGACTCGGGTTCGAATCCCAGCACCCACAAGGCAGCTAACAACTGTCTGTAACTCCAGTCCCAGGGGATCCGACAGCCTCTTCTGTCCTCCGCGGCAGGTTCAAATCCCAGCCCCCACATGGCAGCTAACACCTGACCATAACTCCAGTCCCAGGGGATCCAACAGCCTCTTCTGACCTCCGTGGGCATTGCACAACATGGGTGCACTTACCTACATGCAGGCAATATATGCATACATATAAAATAAAAATAATAAAAACTTTTTAAAAAGTTTAAAAATAAAAATGAGAATTACAAATACTTAAGTAACAAAAATCACAGTATTAAACATTAAAAATCAGAAGTATCATCATCTGAGGCTCAATAGATACCATTTTCTTCCAAGTCATTTCCATTCTTGCTTTTGCTGGAGTCTGACAGAGACACCAGCTTTCCAGAAGCATCTTAGTGCAGACATCAGGCAGAGAGCCAAGGCTGCAGATCAGAGGCAAGGCTTTCTTCTCGGATAGCCTCACTGTGCAGTTCTGTGGGGTCAAAGGCCTTGGTGGGAAACTGAGCTCTGAGAGTCATTCCCCTCACCCAGGGCCCCTGCCCAAAGCATTTTGGTTGCTTCTGAAGAACTGATAAATACCGTAAGTACAAAAATGACCCTAAAAGGCAGGCTTGCTGCCTGCACTCCAGCCTTCTCTGCATCTCAGCCCTGTAAGGCCTTTTTTTATCTTAGTAGTTTTTTGGTGCTGGTAAGAAATACACCTTTAAATTCTTCCATTACAGCAATATTCTTTTAGGTGATATCAGTAATGGGAAGGTCCAAATTACCTGGTCTGCTATTACTAAAGTCCTTCTGAAGCCTTTCATCCTTCTTAACCTACTTTTGTTTCTTAGCGGCATTTACCGTGATATTTGCTTGTCACTAGTATACATTTCAAAATTAAAATGTAAAAGAATAAAACCTAAGAAAATTGGAAGTGATTTATGACTACATATCTCAAAAATATTGAAGTTCAAATGGCATAGAGTAAAAAATATAAACATATAAAATGGTATGAGCTCTCAGGAGTAAGAAGAATTTTATATTTTATTTAAAGTTCCTTTTAGCTCCTTACTTTACTCAAATCTGTCCATATTTCTTGTGTTGCTTGTTCAGTACCTGTCTTCTATCACTAATGCCAAGCTCTGAAAGCAAACAGACCTTACTCTTATTTACTTATCCTCAGTGCACAGAACAGAATCTACTCAGTAAATATTTGTAGAATGAATAGTTTTCTATAAACAAAATGTTTTACTTTAATAATCATAGAAAAAATTTAAACACACATCATTAAAACTAATATTCATACAGTGCCAAGTGTTACTCTAAAGCTTTATGTGTAATTAACTTATTTAAACTCAAACAATCAATGAATTAGTTAATATGATATCCATCTTACAAATGACCAATCTAAATAGATTATATAATTAGCCCAAGGTCACATAATCACTAAGTATATCGAAAAAGATTAGCAAGCTGGCCAAAAATTTCCTAGAGTAATCAAACTCATCTGTTCCTCCCCACACACTTAAAACCTCTTGAATATGAATGAATTCAATTAAATAAAATCACAGTAACCACCAAGATTACCACATCACAGATTTTTTTAGTACAGGGACTAGAAATGTGCTCAGAATGCTACATACAGTACCAAATAGCCTTCCTAATAACCTAGTGACGGACATCTCTTTGTTTTCATTTAGTGATTATTATTGTGCTTCTATTATAGGTACACACATGCCATGGGGCACAGGTGGACGTCAGAGGACATTTGGAAGTCAGTTCTACCATGGGCTTAGGTTGTCAGGCTTATGCAACAAAGTACTTTTAGCTGCTGAGCAATCTCGCTGGCCCTATTTTCACTTCTAAGTTGCTGGAGATTGAAATAGGGCCTCCCAACACACTGAGCAAGGTTACGCACTAGTCCCTCTTTGTTGAAAAGAAAAACCTGGAATTCAGTTTTAAGTTTGAATCTAAAAACTGACTTTTTGTCTCATGGTTTGGAATTTAGTTCTATCAGAGTACACGCACACTCCCTTGGACTTCAGGGTTGAGAGTTGTAACTACAGATAGAAATCTGGTCACATCCACCTAGTATCCTAAGACACAATGGGGACTTCATAAACCTTTCACTTGTTTTTACATTAAAACATTTGTATTCCACATATAACCTTAAAGAAATTGATCTATTATCTGCTTTGTCTCATTTGTAACTTTGTACATCAATGACCTATTGAGATGAAGAATTTTGATAAGGGATTTGGATTCTATCTGAATGAGTCTCCAGGACGTAGCAAAGTATTTTACAGCTCCATAATATATATTTAGCAGATGTATATATCCATGAAATAAGGGGTTTTTGATAGATAATTGTTCATCTTTTCTGGGGACAGTGTGATGTTTGGTACATTTACACACTGCATAATGATCAACTAAGGACATAAAGTTTCTCCCCACCTCAAACATTCAGCATGTCTTTGTTATGAGAACATTCACTTTTCTGTCTCAAGTCTGCATTACATGCGACACCTGGCTAAATAAGTATATTCTAGTAGGGGAGAGAAAAGGCATTACGTACTTCCATTTCAGATGTGCACTCTTCAGGTTTGTCCATAAATACTGCAGAGACTGGTACAGATGTGTTTTTGGATATTATATATTTTAATGGAACTTCATGGAAGATCTGATTTCTTTCTCTCATTGTCATTTGCTTTGGGGGAAGTGGCGAATTAATATAAATTACTTTAACTGGCTTGGAACCTTAAAATAGAAACAGAAGCAAGTGGTGATTAGTATCCACTAGTTTTATTTAAAAAAGGGATACCTGAGGGAAAGATCACTGAATAGAGACAGGACAGGAAAATGGCAGCTCCTCATGTATCTGCCCCCTTTGGACTGGAGGATGTTAAGTCCCTCAGTATAAAAGAACAAGAGGGCCCAACTGGCAGAAGAGAAGAGATATGCTCTAAAAATGCGTAAAAAGAATTTTTGATTTTCAGTGTATTGTTACTGTCATTATTACTTGGTTCTTTCAGAAACTTGTAAAACATGATAAAAATTTTACCAAGAAACTACATTTAACTCTGGTATGTAGTCTTATTTGTCTTTATAAATCAAGGCATGATCTTTCATTTATGGTATTATATTTAATGATATTAATCTGGAAGATATAAAAACTGGTCAAATATGAACCAGAACAATAGCGGGGGGGGGGATAATCCTTTGAATGGCAGAAATACTGTGCAAACATTAATTTTGTTGTTGAAAAGAGGCTCTCCTGCTGTTTTTAAGGATAGACCTACTTTAATTCTAGTTCGCATAACAGACCAGTAAATAAGTCCTAGAAATTTAGCTACTGGAAGTTGTCTAATAAAGTACCACATTCCTTCATCCCAATGAATAACATAATACCATATCTTTCATATTTTCCTGTCCACATTTAGCAACAATTCTTTCTCTCTCTCTCATTTCTTATCACCACTATAGGTACCACAGTCTTAGTTAGCAGTCAGTTTTACTGTGGCTTTATAGGTGGAAAAGCTCTTCTGAGTTTAAATGTCAGATTTACCTTCTCCTTAAACCATGTAGATTTTTGTGTTTGGCAAATGGCCATTTATGTTTAGACAGCTGAAATGAAATGGTTCCAGGCCTTCTTTTGAGTGCATTATCTGACACAGCAAATCACAAACCTTCAACAGGTATCATCTGAACACACACTGGAATTTCCCACTGCTCCTTGTAGCTTGGTCCATGGTTATTTAGTAAGGCAAATAAGGACTGACTAGTCAGGGCTATGTGAGGATGGTATCTTGAAACCAGCTTCTCTGCATTTGGATCTTTACTAATATCCTGAAAAACAGTGTGTATGTTGTTATTTGGGCACAGTCTGAACATTTCTTCACAAAGTAATGGAGAGATGGGAGAAAGTCATGAAAAGGACTTTAGAGCAACTGGGCTCTGTCTTTTGTGCAGTACAGGCTACACAATGCAGGAGTATCTTAATTATCTAGAAAATGCTTGCCACTCACATTGTGCATAGCTTCAGCTTTCTGTTGTGGTGTTTCAGTGGAAGACGTGTCATCTTTTGAGAGTTGCAACTTTATAGGCATTGAGGGAAGTACTGTTTTTACGAACTTTACATTGCCCTAAATAAGAAAAAAAATGAAGTTATAAATCTTAATGTATTTTTCTTGCAACATAGGAAATCTTTAACTGAAATTCATCATCCTTCTAAATCTAAATGTCAAACTTAGAATCTCCTTAAACCAAGATATGATGGGGCTGGAGAGATGGCCCAGCAGTTAAGAACACTGGATGTTCTTGCAGAAGACCTAGGTTCGAATCCCAGCACCCACATGGCAGCTTACAACTGTCCGTAACTCCAGTTCCAGGGGATCCGACAGCCTCTTCTGTCTTCCATGGGCACTGCATGACACAGGTGCACTTACCTGAATGCAGGCAATACACGCATACACATAAAATAAAAATAAGTAAAATATTTTTTTAAAAAGAGCTATTCAAGTTTTAAA